AATCTAATTTTTTTTTTCACTTGGTTTTTTTCTATGCAGGTTGTAAACAAGATGAAATACCTGTTCAAATTTGTTTTAACTTTTATTTGCTATCTATAGTAATTTTTTATTATATTTTTTTTAAAACTATTATAATTTTGTTAAAGTATTCATAATGAGGCAATTGAAAAAGATTTTTTCATTTCAGATTTGATTATTGTAGAATTTAGCTTTCAATATAGTGCAGATCGCTTACCTTTGTTCTTAATGAATTGCTTCATTAATATTATCATATATTATTTATATTTTGCCAAATTCAGCAATATTTGACAATTTCACTTTTTTAAATATAATACATGACCTTTGTCAACAAATTTACTTTAGTTTTAAGCACATGTTAATATAATCATATCAATATGAATCTTTAAGAAATGATTCATAATGATTTGTATGTAATCACAATAATTTTCTTTAAAAAAATCATCATATTTTACAATAATTCCAAGTTTGTTCAAATTTTCATGTATCATTATATATTATAAAATTTTACAATTCTTTTGATAGATTTCAGAAATATGCTTGTATGTTCGATTATTCAAAATGTTATGTTTCACATACAAATTATTTTCAGTGTGTATGTAATATATATACAAATTTGTTGTATTCTGATGACATTATCAATATATTATTATGATTCAAAAACCAAAATCATAGTTCTACTATCATATTATTTGGAACTACTTTGGATTTTTTCACATTTCTTTATGTTCATGTAATTTTTTCTTTGATATTATAGTTTAAAATCTAGCTTAATATAAAGCGTTAATATAGTGAACTTTTGTGACAAACCAAAAATTTACATTATTATGACTGAATAATATCATAAATTACAAATATGTTATTTATATCATATATTAACAAAATGAGATGCAAATTTTTAAGAGAGTGATCAATCTCTTAAAAAATTCATATTTGTAAAGAGTAACAGATTTATCTATAAATTTTGTATAAAAATATAAGAATATCTCAATCAATTTTATAGATATTAAATAAATTTGCGCAAATATCATGATTAAATTCATTGTATCATTCATTATACAATTTAAAAATTCGATTTCAAAAGAAAGTTTTGGTGATACTTAAGGCATTGAGTGAAACTTTTTATTTTTTATAATGATATTTTGAACATGATTTTAATCTTTATGATAATTTTTTTCATTTTATCTGAATATGAGTAAATGTAATAAAAAATATATTTACATTTTTCAACGTTTTTATTGCGAAAAATATAATAACGTTAATCAGTTCATAGTTTTTTCAAGGCAATATATATCGTTCAATCCGAATTTAAAATAAATAAAAAATTTGTGATACATAAAAATTTGATTTATGTGTCTTAGTTAGAAGTATGAGAATTGCATAGCTTCAAAAAGTAATCATTAACCAAAAAAATTTTGATTTCTTGAACAATTTTCTGATAGAAATATCAAACTATATATATTTACAATATAATAATTAACGCTTTAGAGATAATATTTCATGTTTCTATAGGTTCTGATTTGATATGGATATATCAAATCCAGGATATTTACTTTGTAATTGATTAACTTTGTATCAATCTGATTTGTATGGATCATAATTGTCAAATCTTGTATATAAAGTTTAAATCATATGCATTCAGATTTTATGTTCATTATGAAGTTTTTAACATGAATTTGCATGTATTCATAGATAATCCAATTCTAATGAAACTTGAGAAATATTTATCCAATAAAATTTAATATTTGTCAACATTTTGATATAATAAATAAATTTTGAACTCAATAATTTATTCAAATAAATAGCATGTGAATAAATTTTTTAACTCATTCAAATGAGTATGTTCTAATATTCGTAGAAAATTTATTTAGTTAATATTGATAGTAATATTTTATTCAAAATATAAATTTTATTATTATTGTTTTTTAAGTTTATGATTTTATTTTTATTTTTATTTTATGATTTTTTTTAGCTTCTAAAAACATTTTACATAACTGGAAAGTTTACAAGTATTGACTCTTGCAACATCAAAAGATAATCATATATTGATCATATTTGAGCAATGTGAAATGCGCAAAATTTTGCTTGTTGAAAACTTTTGGAATCATAGAATAATTTAGATACTGCAAATATCAATCTCACATATTTGCAAATATAGGTAGTAAAAAATTCTATTCATATGCGAGGTTATGATATATATCATATTTATTCACATACATATATACAAATTTTCACTAAAATTTTTATATTAAATATAATATATGAAAAAAATTATATATGTCTAAACATAAAATAAAATGATTTAAATTTGTACAAAGTGTTTAAGCATTACTTTAATCAACACAACCTAATTGTCAATATACATGTTGCTGTCTAAAAAATTTTGAGAACAAAAAGTCAAATGTAGGAACATTAACCACTAAATCAATATGCTAAAAAGGTGAAATAAATTACAACTCACAAGTCTTCAAACACCATATATATATTGGAATATATTTTATGGACGTAAAGTGAACTGATGAAAATTTTAATGAAAATTAAAATTTTCATTACTTTTCATTAAATTTTCAACATTCATGTCTGGAGCGAATTGAAATCTATTGATTTCATCGTAACTATTTACAAGCTACAAATTGTATAGTTATATTGACGGTGCTTTTAATTTTCCGAACATATAATAGACTTAACTTAAAAAAGTTGATCAGTTTAAGACATGATTTAAACAAATGATGCTAGTGTAGATATTTTAACATCTTTTGTGAAATCATTAAAATTTTTATTACATATATTATGTAACCTAGTGGTTTAACTACATCTAAGTTAATGAAAGTTTGAAGTATAATATTTCAGAATTTAAAATACGGAAATATTCCATGAAATTGATTTATATGGTGCATCCTTATATTAATATAGGACTTTTAAGGAAGAACTTGTTTCATCTGAATACTCGTATAGTTTCAAATCAATCCAAAACCATACTGTAGTACTTTGCTTAATATAGGGCTTCATGTTCAAGCCAGACATGGAGAACGAGCTGGTCTCTTCATCACTAAAATCCTTCAGTGACTAATGGTATCAGACCTTTTGCCACAACAAGGAATGCAGCGTAGATAGGTGTGCAAGGCTATTCGGCGGCATAAAAGAACATCTAAACAATTATGACAAAAGCTACGGGGCTAAACTAAGGTAGATGTTCAGGTAGGAAGGCGCGTGTCGACTATTGAAAGTTGAAGGCTCAGAGTGAATCCACGTGCTTTCATTACACTTATCATCTGCAGGGTTCGGGGCAAGCGCAGTGACCTGTCACCTCTCATGTCCTCCTCAAATCATGACAAGTGTTGTTCGTGTTCGTGAAAGATACTCCGAAAGATTTGGTCTACACGTCCACCGGGCTCCACCTCATCACACTATCCAGTCGGCGAGGATGTGATTTTCCCCTTCTGGAAAGCCTTCATCTCCAAAAGCTTCACAAAGATCTAAGACCTGGGAGACTTACCACTCGAGTCTGCACAATGCAGATAACGAGGTCTTCGGTCGACGATGACTCTCCGGTCATCATAATGTCTCCTCTTCGATGATTGTGGTTTACAGTATTGTACTGTCCTATTACTCGGAGGAGGTCTCGATGACTTCCGGATGATTGTGGTGATTATAATGCTAGAGATTTCCTCCTCGTTTCTTCCCTTCTTTGAATGGAAGTTGTTGGGTCTACAATATCGACCTAACAACTCTATGTTTACATGATCTCACTCTAGACTTAAACCCATGTAGACTATACATGGGTTTCTGGAGTTCTCCTGTAGTGAGGGACGTTGATAAATCCTTGGAAAGTCGATTTGCGCAACCATGAGTTTGCACGAATGGTCAATGTTGCGTGCAAGAAGGTTATACTCTGTAGATCGTCTGCTGCAAAACCTGTTGCTCCTCGTGCCCCCTTCAGGTGCTTATACCAGAGGTGACTGGTAGTCATGCGGCCTCTCGAGGATAAATGTGGACAGGTGGAACTCTTTTCACTTTCTCCCACCAAATTTATCTCTGTAACAAAGAGATTGACAACTCCGAAGCTCTCTCTCTCTGTCTTTCTGTGTGTGCCTTTGTGTCTGTCTGCGGTACTTGCATGCCTCTGAATGGCCAAGAGCAAAGTACGGGCAGAAGTCACCACATGTAGAAATAAGCACACAAGGGCGACCGACTCTGCATCGCGTGCGCAATTCACAAAAATGTGCAGATCTTCATCTGAGTGAGTCGCCATGATCTCACCTCTCCAACAAGCACAATCATCTGCACTTTCGAAAACATGCCCTCCGAAAACTGTATTTTAATCACGGAACGGAAACTTTGGAACTGTTTCTCAAAAGTGAACGTCCATATCACAAAAACTACACGATCTTCCAGAAGTATGGAAGCGAGCATGCTCGTGCTGAGAACAGTACACGAAGGAAGATTCGTTTCATTCTGACGAAAGAAATGAATAAACAACGCAGTTCAAATGTCCCCTCATTCGAATCGGCAGGCGTCGTCTTCTACGAATGTGAGTGTTTTTTAAATATGGAGGCGGCTTTCTCGTTAAGGGTTGCATTCGAAGTGAATTCGTCGAATGAGCCGATCCTTGTCGGTAATCTGGACCGACCGACCCACACGAGGAGCTGGGAAGGGCATTATTAGTGGGTCCATGTCCTTTCCAGCTCAGAAGAGCAGAAACAAAACACCTGCCCGGATATAAAACTATATATAAAGCGCACCCAGTCCAACTCTTTGATAATTCGACGGGCTTATTTTGGCACCGAATTGAGGGGAAACACTGAATATTCCCATGTCTATTCGCTCGGCTTTAATACAAAGGTCCTTAGCGTAAAGACAGCTCAAACTACGATCAGATCAGTACCCGCCCAGCGCCTCGGTGCTGCTCACAGTAACATTTCTGTAGATGCAGTGGCGCTAAGAACAGACGAACCTCGTCTCTCTGCCGATTCCTTCTGCCTCGGCGGTCTTGTTCCCATGGACAGACAGCCTCAGAGTGAATAAGTCCGCCAGTCAGCCAGCCAGCCAGCCAGTCAGCTGCTGAACATATGGAACTTCCTCGCCCGGATGCTCGAGCTTAAGAAGACTCTGAGCTCGGGTGTGGAAGGTTCGCAGCGGGACGGCAGAGAGCCGCTGTGGGTCTCGCAGTCGGAGAGCAGGAGCCGTCTGTCAGGTACGAGAATTCTGCGAGCCCGCCTCGTGCCACTGACCGCATTAGTGAGAAGCTGTGAGTGTCAGTGTGTGAGGATTTTCGCTCTTTGGGTCGCGGGATGGTCCTCCTCATGGTCGGGAGGACCGACCCACATCTCTGGTCCTGTACTACAAAAGAACGATCGATCGGTTCCTCGAAGACTAGGCTGTTCAATTTTCCAGGAGACGAGACGCAGAGAGAGGAGCTTGTTGATAGTGCTCGTAATTTTTTTTTCCTAAGCATTGCCAAGCCCTCTTCTCTTTCCGTGGACAGAGTCTGTGTTCCTCGGACATCAGTCAGGTTGTGCTGCCAGGTAGCCTCTCATCTGTCAGTTCACCCTGCCCCCTTCCTCTCTCGTATGAGACAACTGCGGACCAACTGAGATCGATCGAGTAGGTGTCCTCGTACAAAGAAGGTAGAGCAGCTGTTTATGAAAAGATGAACCGCCTCTCTCATGGACACATTCGTGCCTCTAACACTGTAATGTGGTCTCCTATCTGCAGAGTCGCAGAGTTTGACTAACACAAACCTCAGTTTGGTAAACAGCAAGTAGATGCATTCGATGTCATTGGAAGTCGGTAGTTGTGTTTCGGTTCGAGTTCAATTCTTGTCTCAACAGAAATCCGGTTGTCAGCAAACCCCCGTTTCCTCCTCGGAGCCATGTCTTCATGGCCTCTCTGCGAAGGCTGGCTGTACTTCGATACATTACCTCGAAATGGACATCCTTTGTCCGATGCGTGCGGTCCTCAATCCACGATCACAACTGCTGTCGAGCGCAGTAATTTTCCGCGTCGGGACTGGAATCCCGGAGACACGGAAAGGTCGAGGGCTATTTCGTGGACGCAAGAGAGACATGAGACAGTATGCCTTCCACTTCTCCTCACAGTGTGTTGCATTTTGCATTTGGCGTGCAGGTGGAGTGCCTAGAGCTGCATCGAGAAGCGGAGGCCCGGCTCGACAATGGGGAACCAAGTAGCGAGGCATAAGGCAGTGGCCGCGGAGAAGCAGAGGTTGCAGGAGCTGCAGCAGAGCGGCGGGCTGGATTTTCCGGGCTCGGATTTCCGGGCCGCAGGGGCGGCGCAGCGCAAGGAATGGATGGGCAGCTTGGACTTGGACAGAGTGCACGTGAAGGACGTGATGTGGCCGGGAACTCACGACTCGGCGACGAACAAGATCGGCATTCCGGGCATCAGTCGGCCATTCGCGCAGTGCCAGACGCTGTCGGTGTACGAGCAGCTGTGCCTGGGAGTGCGAGTGCTGGACATTCGAGTGGAGGGCAGCGGGCGAGTGTGCCACGGAGTGCTGACCACGTACAAAGTGGACGTGGTGATCGACGACGTGAAGCGCTTCATGGCCGAGACAAAGCAGGAGTTCGTTATCCTCGAGATCCGGACGGAGTTCCAGAAAGTCGATCCGCCGGACTTCGAAAAATTCCTCATCGCGCAATTCGGCGACCTCTTGGTGCCTCAGGACGCGAACATCGTCGACCGCTCGCTCCGCGAGCTCCTGCCTCACCGCGTCCTGTGCATCTGGAGGCCAAGAAACTCTCCCGCTCCGTCCCCGGGCAGCCCGCTCTTCAGCTCCGGGTTCTTGAAAGACAACTGGATCGACACGGACCTGCCCGCCACCAAGTTCGATAGCAACCTCGAGAATCTGCGCAAGCAGCAGCCCAACTCCGTCCGCAGATTCTTCTACCGCGTCGAGAACACAGTCACCCCTCAGGTCTCCAGCGTCGTGCTGTGCGTCTACCCGGTAACCACTCGAATCAAACCGTTCGCTCGACTGTTCGTGTCGCAAGTTTTCAAGCAAGGCCTCCTCGACAATCTGCAGATCTTCTCCACCGATTTTGTCGAGGAAGACTTCGTTGACATTTGCATTGGAGTAACGATGGCCAGGCATAGCGCCTAACTGACTCTCTCTTCTAACCTGGACTCCCCCCCTCCCTCTCTCAGCCTCCTGCTGCTGTTGTAAGTTACATCAATTTGTTCCCTTTTCGGTTGCTGCTGATCACGACATCACGTGGTCTATATTTTAGGGTCGTCTCTGTAGAGAGTGTGTGTGTTGTTGATCGTCCCTGCCTCATTCTTTCAGCTGCTTAAGAAAAGGAGAAATGTTTTGGAGATTCTTTCTTCGTCAAGAGCTGACCTGAGTTGACGAATTTCCCCCGTGTACATAGAAGGCTTCAATCGAGCCCCTGTGTGTTGTAAATTCAGCCAGCTCCTCCGTTGAAATCCTCATCGAGTTCTCGCGGAGCTTTGGCTGCAAGAAAATTATGTAAATAAATTTGGAAACTTTGTCTTTCCTTGAAGTTGGATCTTTCCATCTGCAATTTCGCTACCTCTCGGCCATTATTCCCCGAGGTTGCTGGGATCAGGCTTGCCTCTGTAGACAACTCATCTCAACAAGTAGAGCTCTCTCCCTCTCTTAAGCAGACTTGGGCAAGTCATTTATTTTTCTGTGCTGGAGTATCTTGTTTCCCAGTCCAGTGGGACAGATTTTGCAGGGGCTGTTTTGTGATTTTGAGTCCGGGGAATACGTACTCCTATTTTGGCATCGGAATCCAGCTTTGATTATATACACACGAGTGGGTAAATCATGACCGTAAATCGATGTCGGTGTTTTGCGAACTTTTCCTTCCACGAGAGCTAATGTACGTAAATGACCTCTTCGTCGCTGTGCTGGAGCAACTTGTCGATTTTCTCGTTAGCATTGGATGGAGCAAGCTCAGTTTAAGGGGAACGTGCAAGTACCACGTGTAACGATCTCGTCGTTTGTTGGTTTGTTTGTCGTGTCCGCAGGTCGACAGATGTGAGGAAGGTCCAGGCCCAGCTAACCGTCCTGTACTCAGTTGCGAATGAAATGCTTCTCCACCTGTAAGTAGAATGGCATCTAGACATGTGTTCGATGCTCGACATATCGATGGAAGATGACATGTGGAAACTTATCAACGAATGCTACTTTCGCTCGGTCTGATGTTGGACTGTCGACAAATGTGCCATTTAGGACGAGTCCCTGCTCGTAGCGATCTGTAGCGGACCTCTTTTGGTCTCCGTCCTAGTCTTTCCTAAAATGGCGTTTGTCCTCGTGCGCACATCACACTTCTCATTAAGTTTTCAGCCATCAGACAAGACAAGAGATGGGCTCACATCTTGCAAAGTCAACAGCTTTTGTTTGGCCAGAAGCGAGTACGGTACCTTGATTCTGGTCAAATCCGGACAGAATATGGGCGTCGAGGAAGATTAGGTGGGAGGTACAAAATGAGGACTTTTAATGGACCTAATGATTGGCTGGATCATACAGAAGTACCAAAACAACGTTTGAAGCAAAGTACAGAGTCCGGCCTTCCATGCCTGTGAACTGTGCCTATCGATGATGGATCCTTCAACATCTAGATTTTGTGCCGCGTCTACTGCCAGATTTCTCTCACTTGCCCTGATTGTGGCATCGTCGTCAAGTAACTTCCCTGGCTCTTGAAGCGCTTTCAAACGTGTCACCTCCGTCATGCAACCCTTGCCTACTTCGCCTTGGACTTTGTCCCACGCTAGCTTCTCGTACAACATCATCTGAACCTGCACACTCCACCGGACAGAAACAGAGGGCTGCTCTCTAAGTCAATATGGACATCTAAATATTCAGAAGAGCCTGTATAGAGCACCAAAAGTCAGCAGAGAATCATTGATCTCACTATCCCCTACGCATATGAACTAATATGGGCGTTCAGAAAGCAATTTACAAATACGGAGTACACAAATTGCGAGAGATTTGCTTGATGGGATTCCTGCAGAAATTAATTCGCTTGATGGACACTTCAGGTTTGTTTTACACAATGGGACCCGAACGATAGTGTGTCGTAGGCCATGGTTCTTGTAACTATGATTGATAGTTACAGTGCGGAGATTACAAGCAAAAATCAATGATTGATTATAAATTCTGGCAGATTATCAATGGGACAAAGATTGATTTTGCCCGAATAGCAACAAAGATCAATTTTGCCTGAAGAGCAATTTGTTGTGATTCAATTCTACTGATCGCACCGATTCGCCTAATTCTCTGTTGCCTCCGGCCGACACACTCCTTCCGTAACCCTACGTATGCGACGAGTAGCTCGTACCGGGAAATGGTCCGAGCTCAAGTCTCGCGGATAGAGAATGACAAAATATAAACAAGGGAGCGTGATGGAGTGGGAAATCCATTCTCTCCGAGGTTGAGGGCGTGGTTGACTACTCGTTGTACTCTCTCTAAAACTCAATTCGTTATTAGAACATGGGTGACGATGTAGTGAGGTCCAGTCGGGTAAAACGAAACTTGAAGTACCCCATCAAGCAAATTACTTTATGCAGGGATCACATCAAGCAAATCTCTCCACAAATTGCAAAAGAATGACGAGTCTTTAGCAAATGTTCAAGGTGAACATCCACTGACTATAATCGCAGGTAGTGCACTGTCGTGCCACACAAATCTCCAAATTATTGTTTAATACTCATCCAACTTAATTCTTTGTTCTCTAGCTTGCATGAGAAGAAAGATACCACAAATCTCCAAATTATTGTTTAATACTCATCCAACTTAATTCTTTGTTCTCTAGCCTTCATGAGAAGAATGATCCCAATCATGTTAAATGAAGTCCAGAAACACAGCTTGAAAAATCGTGAGAGTCTTGCCTTCATGTTCTCTATCTCTTCCAGCTCCCTCTGCCCTTTCGCTATCAGCTGTTCCGTGTGATCACGTATAAACTTTTTCTTCTCTGTAAGTTCGGTACCATGCGGACGTGGAGAACTTAAAGGCATGCTAATATTCTGGTTCGCTTCTTCGATGGAGGGATCCATTCCATGAAGCCAAGGATCCATCCGTGGCGGAACATCATGTACGCTGACCTTGATCTGATCTGAAGTGGACTGACTTGATTTCGAATGTTCTGTTTCCTTGGGATCGGGTTGGCATTCTCGACGCAGTTGATCACTGGGCCATCTCTTCCTTCCAATTCCGGGATTGTTTGGGAAGAGACCACAGATAGTGCGAATCTCATGGTACGCTTCATGGCGTTTCTCTTTTGGCACTTCACTTGGAGGTGCGGACACATTGTTCCCTCCTTGTATTTCTGGCAGTTCACCAGGCCCATGAAAAGACGTGCATTTGAGAACAGAAAACAAAATCAGCTTACCATTTGAGCCCTCGTGTATGTACTACATAAAACTGTGAGATGGAGAGACACTTCTTTTGAGCAAACAGCAACGAAGAATTGAATTAGAATTCTCCCCAGAGTGCAATTGAGGTCCTAGCGTGAACGCCTCCTCTCCTGAGGTTGACCAGGAACGAAAAGGCGGGCTCCAATTCTCGGGTTGGGATCAACTGGGTGTATATCTGGTTGCCACTGGTCAAGCAGGAAGGGTGGGAATCTGTACCTCTGCGGTAAGGGGGAGTGAGTTCCCATAATCTCTTAGGTTGGGAGAAAGTTAGAAGGTCCCAAGGCCTTCTCGGCGGCGAGAAGTACGTCTCAGAACATCGCTTCGCAGAGAAACTTTGGCAGCTTTGTCGCTTCCGATCTGTGCGCAAGTTGCTGGGTGCGTTCAATCTCGACATCAACAACTATAAACGTGCCAACAAGAATATCATTCGCAGCTCCACTGACTCCAAACTGCGATTTGGCAACCCCAATTCCGCGCTTCCATTCTGGAGGATCGACCGCCTTGATGGATGCTCAGCGTGCCTGCCTAGGAAATAGAACCATGTGGTTCACGAACTCCTCGATTCTTGGGGGAATTCCGTCATCACTCATCTAATGTCTCAACACTCCCATACGAATCTCGAAACGAATTCGTGCAATCGTACGACATTCATCCGCGGCCGAAGCAATCTTGGGATAGAATCCACGCGAATCTTATGCATGAAAAACGAAGTGACCCTGTTGTCGGGGGCACGGCACTGCATACGTCGGATCCCCGCCAGATTCCGGCCGGACACTGGCCGCCGGTAAATCTGGAGGCCACGATGTTGGTTTGGATGGAGGGATGTTTTAACGCTGTGTGCCTAGACGGGGCAAGATTGAGGGTTCCAAAGGAGTCTAGTGCTCCTTAAGTCAATGATCCTTTTAATCACCTCTTATGGCCAGGCTTTGAGTATTGCACAAACGATATGGACATCAGATTCTCCATAAAACATTTCATGACTATCTCGTTTTCTATAAAACAAATTCTTTCTTCTAGTTAAATTCAAATATAGGGCTGAGTGATTTTCGGAGTACAAATGTCTATTGTACCATAGAAGCTAACCAGTATAGTTTCGTACGAGCTTTGTATCATGGTTGAATAACGATTCATTGCAATACTTACTCATCCATTGACTCGCAGAAATATTTAATGTCTCGTGACATACTACCATAAAGGTCTTATGAAATGTGTTGGTTTTATATCTTTGCATGCGGATAAAATTGTTGACAATCGCTGTAACAATTTGGATAACTAGCAAGTGATTTATCTGGACCCTAAACACTTACTTTCTCTCCCAAAGATTCGAGACATTCTGGCAACCTTGGCTTTTTTCATAACATATGTTATGAGAAACGCACATATGTTTATTTTTTGATATGTATAATTGAGAATCAAGACCTAAAAGATTAAAATAACATTGATTTAGGAGTAACTACAATATAGATCCCCAAACAAATTTTCATAAATTGAAGTTTACCCATAACAATCACTAACCACATCTGTGAAGTTCTTTCAAGTCATAAATCTTTCAAGAAATTTATTTATACTTAAAATTAATCTTGTGTGAATAATATTTTTTTTCAAGTATATATGTACTATATATATATAGAGAGAGAGACAGAGAGATAATATTGCGTTAACAAGTATCATGGGAGATTGTTTGAGGATTGCATATATGTTATGATGACATCCATTTGTAACAAACAAGCAAGCACTATAGCTACAAGAGTATTTGTGAGTTTAGGTATGTAAAAAGTCATTCATTAGTTACATGTATATACTTTGACACACATTAATAGGAGTAAAAGATTCAGTGTGTAATTTGAAATTCTGTGTATACCTTTAATTTTAGATTATTAGAATGTTACTTTTCGTGAATTTACACGTTTGAGTGAGTTTCATATTCGTTTAAAAATCAAGAAAAACACTTTATCTAATAAAAAAATTTGAGTTTAAGAAATATTTAATTTTGTTGTTATATCGATGTGCCTAAAATATAAATATAAATGAAAATTACCTTGTTCTTTAGACTGAGGAAAGACATATAATTGACTAATGAATGAGGGAAGACATGTTATCTAGTGGATACTAGAATGTCACGAGTGTATACTACAGTAGTGACATTCGCTATTACTCCGTACCAATGTCATGAATTTATGTTAGAGTTTTCAACTCGTGTCTGCGTTTCATGCTACTCATGTCTGCATTAAGCATGCAGACATGTGATAAGAGCGACAGCTCTGGGTTCCGATGGATGTTTCAACTATGACCTGGGTTTTAGCACCGGGTCTCCATGCTTCAGCTCCGAGCGAGATCCTGCGTTTCAGAGGGTTACTTTCTGAGAGCTGAGGAGAACCACGGACACAACAAAAGATTATGGTTCATGACAACACAATTCACTAAGAATCCCAAGTCAGACCACGAGTGTAAGAGTAAGGGGTCTTAACTTATTCATAAGCAGCCTCTCCTACGGTAGTAGCCGTTCACTGGCATCGTCCAAGGGTGCTGCTCACCATCATCACTGTTGTCTATGAGCACACTGTAAACAGCCTCGAGCTTCTGTTTCCGGGCCATATATGCACGAGGCGCTGGCTGCTGGAGAGTAGCAAGAGAAACTTTGAGATAAAAGGTGTGGAGTTCATGCAGTGTAGATTCTGCGACACCAGAACGCGCTCTCTCGGACAATCCAGGCCATTTTGGGGAGGTAGCGTCAGGCCTAAACTCTCCTCAAGCGTCTTCAGCTCCATCAGCTATGGATTCGTCCTTGAGACCGTCTTTCCTGTAATAGTTTTTGGAGCGCATCAATCGCCGAGACAAGGAATCATATCCTTCACTTTTATTTCATAATGTTTTCTTATTATAATCATTTTTGTATGATTTGATTATTGAAGAGATGGACACAGATGTGATTTTAATCTTGATCTTACATTGTTCGTGTGATTCAAGATATCATGTGATGTGGGTGATGTAATGAGAAAAATAAAAGTATGGAGTGAGAAATTTGAGTAAGTTTGATTAGAATGTTATGTAATTTTGAGTGTGTGAGGACATATAATAAAAAAGTTAGTATGTTTATCATTATTTCTGTGTTAGTTAAAACTTTATTTCATCTCATGATGTATTCTAGAGGTATGTGTCACGTCATGTTCGGTATGTGATCATTTTTTATCCAAAAGTATTGAATCTTAAAGTGATGCATAAAAAATTAAAATAAATATTTTTGGATGCATAGATAGAGAGTACAATATTAATTTGGTATTGATCACCTCAAGATCACGAGGAGTACATTACTTTCTGACTTTATCAAACATACAAATATATGGGATCATTGAATAAATATTCAAGCACTCATGTATTATTTGTGTTTTATATCCTAAATTCCTCTATTTACGGATTGTCTTCCTGCAATCCATGACAAATTAAGACATGCTTGGTAGGTTGGTGTGATCACATGAACGAGCTGACTTGATAACTTGTTATTATTGATTTCATATTGTTGTTTCTTCTAGTATAGGGGAGTATGCTGTGCACACAAGAAATTGACAATTATATTCTGCACATTTCATTGCAAAAGGAGTAAAGATATTAGTTAAGTTTACACACATTATACTTCTTCTAAAATTTGATCATAATGGTGCAGGATACAAAGGTCAAACCGACTTGCTACAAAAAGACCAATACTTACGTCTTTAAAGGTACGTTTGATTAATGAAATCAAAGTTACTGTAAATTACATAAGTTTCTTCTTTTCACATTTGAAAAAAAAAATCGAATAAAAACAAGCGTTAATCAGTTATTTTAGTTTCACCTGATTATTGATATATTCATAATAGTTAGATTTAATCAAAGAAAATTTTGTCTTTTTTGTAGGGTTTAAAGTTTTCGGTCAGACCTGATCTACCATCGTTTCGAAGGAGAAGAAACAAATCGTGGTGACATCTATTCCACGTACTTGCATCGAGGTGGGACTTAAAATGTGCTGTATAATTTGCAAGTCCCTATGTAATATAATCCAATTTTATGTTATTTATATAAGAATTTTGAGCATGAGTCCGATTTCATTACCTCGGAGCCATTTGATTCGACAATTGGCCATTCAGAGTCTTTGTTCATAAGGTTTTTTGCACTAATGTGAGAGAAACTCATCAAGTTCTTACAAGTTCCTGGAGCCTGATAGAATATGATTTCTTGAATAGGGAGGACTACAGAGGAGCCAGAGGTCGTTCAGTCGGATACAGTGAATATTCAACATGGTGGGCTACATATGAAAAGACATGATTTCCTTCAAGAAAGACTATAACATGATTACCTGCATTTGCTCTTCATCTTTTGCCTATGGTTACTTTTACGTAATCTATTTATCCCCTTTTCTAGAATATTGATGGGAAAATTAATAAAACTTGTTGTGAAATTTTACTTGTTCAAGTTCCATTACAGTAAGCATTAATTATTTATCCGAGTAAGAAATTGTATATATACTGTTCTATTTCATTGTTTCATAACTTTTGGCTGTACCTTGTTGTAGCTTACTGGAATCCATGAACAAATGTAGTCATATCTTGACGTTAATAATGCGAGACTCCCTATTAGTAGTAATGTTTAACTATTGAGAATATTTTTTATTGTTATCCATTTTCTTTGGTAACACAATTGTCTACCAGAATAAGTTACTTATCCACGAAGAGCAAATATAAAGTAATACTTTATTCGACAAAGGATTTTGATTTCGTATCAAATCATATATGATTAAGAAATAAAATCTCTGACATCGAAAATGTAATTTTTATGTATATATTGAGATGATATCGAGAACATCACAATGTTCAGCTCATTACGAATTTGTATCGTACTGACATACAAGTGGTGCAACTCTGCATGAGTTGTGGGGGAAAGGAAGGAGATGGGCGGTTCACACCATTTGCTGCGACGTTTCGCGTTTACATGGAAGCGGAGAGAAATGCAAATTCCAGTGTCGCCTGGCCACGAAGGCGCGGTTCTCTACCGACGATCGTCGGACTCGATCTGCCAAACGAGCCGCGCACCTCCAACGTTCTCCGCCTCGAGTCCATCCTGCCGGCCACCGTGCGCGAAATAATTCAACTTTCAAAACCTCGACCTCGCTCTCCTCTCTCCTCGGCACCAAACCGTTCGGATCGGCTCTCGCAGAGACCCCGAGAGGGATCGTGACGACGCATGCAAGCGGCAGGTTGAACAACTCTGAGACGAATTTCAGACGTGACCAGTCGGTCAGTCAGTCGATCAGAGACTTTCCACGTCTTCGGGCCACGTATCTTCTTGGTCTGGCTACTCCCCTTCGGCCGCCAGGTACAAATCGCGATGGTCAGGCGGTTGAGACGTACAGATTGGAGCGTCAATTGCGTTGAACTGAATTCCGCTCAACAGACTCAGTTGTCCTCGTTGTGAGAGTTTCGCCTTCCTTGGAGAGCTGGAGGGTGAGGGAAGGAAGAAGGTGGATCGCAATTTAAGCAGTTACCTTGAATGTGCATTAGGAATTCTGTACACGCCTAATCTGAAGCCGAACAGACGTCTTGAACGAGAATCCGGACAGAATGTTTCACCTGAATCGTTGATCTGTTCTGCAGTATATGAGGACGCCGTATGCAGAGCATCTTACTGGCAGCAAATCATTCGAGTTGTGTCAATTCAGCAGCCTAAACCTGTCTCTTTTATTCATGAGAGTAACCTGCAACGATCAGGTCACGTCTTCTTTGCAAATATGGTTGTTCAGAGAAATCCTGCTTTCAGAATGGGGGAGATGCGAAGGATTAGCAGAGTGCGGTTTGTGTACGCTTTGCTGCTGACTTATCTCATAATTGGAACAACTGTCACAGAGGCCTTGTTGCCAGCTTGCGTTGGTAATCGGAGAGGAATTTTGAGCCCGTGTAAAAGCGCCCTCAATAAGCCTCATCAAGTCGTGCATAACTCTACATGCTGCAGGGCTGTCGAGTCTTTCCTCTTTCCGGGTTGTCTGTGCCTTGCATTAAGCTCCAAAATGCCCCGTTCGCAGAGGAATCCCTTTCCTATCACGACGAATGCTACGAGCACCGTTCATTTCCTGTGGGAAAAGTGCGTTCTGCCTCTTCCTGAATATTTTGAGTGCATTTCCTGAGGTCTGAAGACTTGTTTTTACTAGACCTGCGTTCTGAAGCACTTACAGGATCTCTACACCTAGTGAGCAATTTCGACGAAGAAAGGGAAGTGTTAATTTTACCAGACTCGATATTTCCAATTACGAAGCTGTCAGAGTTTTGTAACAGAGAGAAGCTTACTATGCGACGGCAGCATGAAGCTTTTCATCAACCTCGGAAGACGACTTTGGAGTATTTTATCTAATAGAACAGACCCCATTTCATTACGGGTCTGTCGAAACTGCAGCCAGTTCGAGGAAGTAACTTGGGATTTCTACGACGAGCATGTACATAGCCGTGATGCCGGTGACTATGGAGGAGATCCCAGACACGCCCTCAGTCCTGCAGTGAGCCTCAGGCTCTGAGCACAACCTGAATGAGCCATCTGTTATTACTTCCACTACAAGCGAAAACTTATCACCTTCCAAGTTGCTTTCGGGATCCGATGAAACCCAAGTTCTTATTTAGAATTCGTGATCCGTATTTCTGTGATCACTCTAAGCCATTTGGTAAAACTTCAGTGGCTTCAATGTTAAGTCATTACTCCGTATCTTCGACAGAGACGATGATGTTGTAGTGAGATGACGATTGTTCAAACCTACACCGAGCTATCAAGGTCACGTGCTCTTGTAAATTCGGCAGGGTTTGGTTTGGTTTGGCGTAAGCTGATGGCAATGCATAGAGAAAGCAGTCCAATCAGCCAATAAAATTCACAGATCAGTCGTTACGATTTTTGGAATGCAGTGTTACCGACTTTGCTGTAGAGTAGTCAATTGTGGTTTTCTACATGTCGTGGTTGGGCACTAAATTGAATCTAAAAATTGCATACTTGTATTGTGGAAATCACGCTGTAGTGTCCTCCCTGTATGTACCATCTTTTTATTCCACCTCTTCCCTTCCCATGAACCAGCCAAGGTTCACATAGAAACTATTCGGATTGAATGTCAGCATTACGTTTATTTCTTCCACTTGCTCTTGGTCCCGAACAAGATGTATCTTGATTGGGAACAAGATATGCTCTGCGCAATTGGATACTCTCCAAAATTTCGTTTGTGGGTATGTTACTGCTATATCTCTTCGTTATTCTAAGCAGCAGCTATGTGTTTCCGCCATGTCCTGTCAGTGGACGTGACCAAATGGGAGATGTAAATTCGAACTTAGGGGTCTATCCGTGAGATACTGTTAGGGCTTATCTCTACAGAGATCATGCGGCCAACATGTCGATGTGATACGTTATTGCTGTGGTTCGTCATCTGTTGCACTAAGTTCTACACACACTGCTCATTTGGCGTTTTGGTAACTACTTCTGACTTTAGTCTGGAATTCACTCCGCTGTCAATCTGTAGACGTTCCTTAAGAGGTGGTCATAACGTGAGAGAAATATGTCCTACATTTCGATTTTGAATCAAACTATGAGCAAACTGAAATTTAATTGTGCCTATGTTCTTATTTTGCAGCTATTGGCAGTGTTCTTGGTTTGATTCAAAATTTGTTCGAGATTAATGGACTCGAAATGCAAGAGGTTCTTTTGGTTTCAGAAAGGTTCGAAGTGAGCAGAAAAACCAGGTTCAGAACTTCCACTTTTGTTTTCTTATTGAACTTGTTGAACTTATTGAACGAGGCCAAACCTTTTGGTTTAGCCTCGGTTGACCACTACCGAGCCAGCACATCTGTCGTCAACAAAGCAAGGTGTGAGCTGCCAGTAAGAGGTTTCCATTTCTGGTTGAAAACAACGTAATAAATTTAGTTCAAACGGAAATGAATCCAGTGACGTCTACGAATCCGACACTTCGAAGGACAAGGCTCTCATGCACAAGAGAATTCCATACCATACCTTCGAAATCTAAATGGCTGTCCTCAGCTCTCATAGCTAAAACCTCAGCGGTGGCATCGGGAAGACAGTTCCGGGGACTGACTCAAAGGAGAAGAGAGGGAAACTGAAGAAGAAGGGGAAGTGGATGCTTCTTTCATTGTCTCCCATCTGCACAGGTCCTCTTCAGGAGCGAAGCATTACTGTGCGAAGAGGGGAGACGCATCGAGAAACAGAAAGGGAAAGGAATCTGCCTTCCACCACTCTCAGTTAATGGTTAACATCATCGGACAGCCATGAAGATCACCTTTGGTACAAGAGCCTACAAAGGCTGCGCAAAAACTAGTGAGAATGACCAGAGTGTACTGTCAGTAACAGCGACCACCTAAATCCTTCGAAGGATTTATATTCTGCTTCACAGAGCTGTCGGAGAAAAACTTTACGTGCTAGGCACCTAAATCCGTCAAACGACAACTTCGACTCCTTTTTCACATACCCTATCTACAACACGACACCTGCTCTGTGAAATCATCAACTCCGGCTACCATGGGCTAGGACACACCCATCAGCCGTAATTTGAAACCCTGAAATCGATGGAAAAGCTCGAAGGTGGTCGCGGTCAAATCTTGTGCGGCAACAAGAAGCTTAATGCATCACAACAAATGACCGAGAGCGCCATCGGATATGACATCGATTCGCTGACGAAACTCCTTCATTTCCACGACCTCCATTCCCTGCTTTGAAACGAACGACCCGAGAAGATCTCCAACGATCAGCGACGTTGGGCACCTCATTCGAGCTGAGGAATACTCACAATTCCCGGCCTCACAATCACCTCCAGCAGAAATGAGTTTAGGGTGGCCTTAAAAGGTTTCTCGAGCTCATGAGCCTGTTTCAAGTTGGCCGTGCTGGCACGGAGATGGGAATTGCCGGCTCATGGAAACGTCCGGTCGATAAAACGGCACGTTTTATCGACCGGACGTATACGTTTTCTGCCGTGTTCTGGACCGCAGCTGCGCTGTGCCTAGCACGTAAAGTTTTTCTCCGACAGCTCTGTGAAGCAGAATATACAGCCGTAATCTTCAACGCACGTTCGCCGTGAACAGCTACAGTACTCGACGTAACGCACGGCAATCCGGACTGCACTTGTGCTTTCTTCGTCAGGCGCATTTTGCAGCCGTCTTTTGGGCCGCAGCTGAACCGTGACCACCCAGGGACCAGACGCACGGTGGGTTGCTGCGGTCGTTTTTGCAGCCGTATTTTGGACTGCACCTCCGCCGTGACATGCACCGAAACGCACACAGGGAACTCACGGACTGCTTCCCCTGCAGTCGGGAGGATCCTCTTCTCAAGGAATGCATATCCAATTGCCGACGTAATGCGTAACAACTGTTCTATTAAACGACTAGCGAATCCCAGTGAAATCTCCTCTGCCCCTAATTGGATTTTATTGGTCAAATTATGGGGCTCGTAACGAGGCTCTTCTGCTGTCACTGTAAACTCTTACCAGAAATTGTGGAGTACGGGCGACATCCTAAATAAAGATTTGGAACTGTAATTGTTTTCTTCCTTTATAGTCTCCAGTTTTCTTAATTGATATCTCTACTCTTTCAAAAAACCAAAGAAGTTTACAAAGATCATGCCAATTGTGCCAGTTGATTCAATTTTGATGAAAAGAGAAGTCATACTATATATTAAATTCATACTTTACGAATGGTAAAATATTATTCTCCTCGAAATTATACTCTCCAGTGCATAAACACCTTTCATACAAATCATCAGAATTGCCCTTACAGGTCTCGTACCCTATAGACCAGGTGCATATTTTGTTCCCTAATAAATATTTTAAGCTATATATTACAGAAGCTCTAAATTTAATATAGATTTTTCAGAATTCTGATCATCTTCTCATTCTCAACTCATGTTACTTTCTACTAAATTGTGTTTCATCTTTAGTTCCACATAATCTCTATAGATTGGATAGAATCATATGAGGGCTAAAACATCCCCAAAAAAATGGAATGATCACAACAGGCCTTGTCAAAACCCAAATAACATCAACATTTAGATTAACATATTAATTAACTGAGAAAAAAACAAGGCATTCATGGTCACATCATTTAACATGCTTGCTTCCACATGTACATAGAACCTACTTATGTGAAACAATAAAAACATATTGATTAGAATGAATGTGTTGATAGAATGATCGCCAAACTATTCTTTATAGTGTGTTGAAACATATAACATTCCAGTACTTGTGCATACTATCACAAAATGTGAAACTACGTGTCAATAGCTTTATAGAATTACAGTGCTAAATAATCAAATAGTTAACATCTTTTTATATTCTCTATTTACAATATCTCATGATGTCCTCATTTCCATGTATTTATAAAGATCAATATCTATTTTGTAAATCTATAGAAATATAAATTGAAGTCTATCAAGATTGCAAAATAAAGTAAAACGGTGTATGTGAAATATTACAACCTACTATAAGTATAGTAGATTGTATGCATAGTAAACCTACACATCTTGGTGACGTATTGTCACCAAGATGTGTAGGTGTAATTGTTTTATTTAATAATAATAATAATATTTTCAATTACAAATAAATGAAAATATTATAAAATATTATAAATAAATAAATATTTTAATAATAATAAATTTTTATTGTTGTTAATTACTTATAAAAATATAATATGAAAATGAGTCAAATCAAAGATATTATGTGATAAATTTAACCTTTTGTTGTTTAAAAAATTTATTCTGAAATAAATTAATTTTTGCTATAAAATTCTGTTAGATTTTAGCTACTAAATACATGTAAAAAATGCCATGTTTTTTCAATGTGTAATTTTAAATTAGAAATAATGAAATATATTTAAAATGTCAAATTTTTAATATATCAACAAAATATCAAAAAAATTTAAAATTTTTTATTTACAAAGCAATAAATTATAATTGGACTTGAGATAAGATATACAAAGGTATAATGATTGATATAACACTAATTTTCACAATCCTTGTGCTGTTGATGAAGCAATGAAGTAAAATCAATGAACTCATTACAACATGTGTTACTGTAATTAACTCTTATAAGTAGACAATCAATAAATATAAAATATAATTTAAAATATTTACTTAGAAATCAAATATTTATAATTAAAAAAATTGTGTCTTTTAGATTGATTGTAAACATTAGAAAATGAAAATTTAAAATAATAATAATGAAAGATAACAAAATCATACAACAGAAAGCTAGATATAATAAAACAAAAAGTCTAAACTAACTATGTGATATATACGTAACCTAATAAGTAAATTAATCGAGCATAAATAATGTGCTATTAATTTTTTTAAATATTGATCAAAATTTTACAATCACTATAGTTGAGCTACTGATTTTTTTTAAATAATAATATTACTTTTAAATTTTAAATGAATTCAAATTTTTTTTAATTTTTTTTAAAATATAAATATTATTTTCGCTTTTTTTATCTGCATATCAAGTTAAGTATATGAAATCATAAAACTTATAATCTTTATTTATAAATGGAAATGTTATATTAAAATTCAAAAAGTAAAGTAAAACTAAAATAATCATAAATTTAAAATTTAAAATGTGTGAATTTTTAAAATATAGATTATCTGAAAACATTCAAGTTATGATTTTTAAATATTTTAAAATATGATTCATATTAATTACAATCTTATGGTAAATTATTTATGATTTAAGAATAAATCAAATAGAATGATAAAAATTATTATAATTATAAACATATTAAAATTATTTATGATTAAAGATAGGTTTAATTTTTTTATTATTGTGTTTATAATTTTTGAACTCATTACATGTAGAATTAGCGAGCCGTAGTCGGTGTCAAACATTTTGTTCACATGAAAGTAAACAAAAGTGGCAAATTATGTATACGTCGGATTGACGTTATGTGTCTTTGTGTGTATTTTTGTGTTTGTTGATTTTATTTTTTTTCAAACTTAAAATTAATTCTAATATAATTGAGAGTGCACGAAGTGTGGGACTCAAACGAAGTCGAAGACGGAGCTCGTGAGCAGCAGAGATCAAAGTTTGACATGTCGAGAATGACGGCAGATATTTCCCGTCCAGCAGTCGAGGTTTGGCATTTGCAACGTCAAGGCTGCATCGCCGCCCAGTGCAGCTTTGAAATTCCACATGAAATCAGAATACTAACTCATAATGAATATTGACAATAAGTGTAGTAGACTATACATTTGTTAGAGAGACAGATTACAAAAATTATTGTTTACGTGGAATGA